AGGGCCGTTCCTCTGCAGGGGTCTCAGACAGCACGTATCCAACATCTTCGCTTCCACTTGAGGCAGCAGGAAACACGTCCAATAACCCACTTCTGCACAGAACCACAAGTTAGGCTGAAATTAGGAACTTTGGCCTTCAATACAAAATAGTTTCAGTAATGTCTCTGGGGAGTCGATTGTTACAGAATGTGCAGCATTTTCAAAATCCCTGTGTGTCCTTCGCGTGAGTGTTTGGTGCACTGAGCACTACTGGTAAGTAACTGCTGTCTGCGATGCTTTTTCCACGTCACTGTGTCTTTGCATTTTTCAGCCAGAAAGAACTGTGAGTCTCAAGCCAGGCACACTGTGTTCACCCAGGGAGCCTCCTATCTCCTATGTCTTCTGATCAGCGGAAGCAGCTGCTGAAAAAGCAGAAGAAAAAGTACCATCATTTCAGCTGTTTCAGTATATAACACACTCAAAACAGCATGAGCACAACCACTCCATTTTCCTTCCCCTTTCTCCTAAGCCCCCAGTTATCACCATCTCCGCTGAGAAAAAGCAAACAGAATTTAACATGAGGTTAGACACACATGAGCATGCAGAGAGACAAATGTGTTCATAAACAGCATGGAGGCTTTTGCCACAATTCATTTCTTGGGAGCAATACATGGGACATGTCTATTACTTTCAGCTAACACTGCCCTGAGGTTAAAACAGTTACCCCTGTAGCAGAATACCTTCCTACAGGTGATCTCAATACCCCTGCAACAACCAGAGCACTGTGCAAGGTGACTTGCAGTGCAGACTCATGAAGCAAGATGAAACACATTAATAAATAAATGCTTCAGATTTGATTTTATTTTTAATTTCTATCAGAACAACAAAACCAAACTCCAGAATCTAACCTATCACCATTTCTCTAAGAATTATGATGATTGTTGGTGTGCTTTGCAACACGCAGAGGCAGTAGTTTGATGAAAGAAAAAGCTTTCAAACTAGACAACTAAAAGAATAAACCTATCCTTTAAACCTTTGACATTGACTGTAGATCTGCAATCATTAACGTAAAATGTAAGCTGGAAAAATATGAACCTCTGTGAGATGGGATGGATAGAAACGTGTTACCATTTTTTATTTCTTTGCATTAAACATTTTTGAGTACATTGACATGAAACTGGTTTTGAAAATCCTTAGGTTCAACTTTTTAATTTTTTCAAAAGTTTTCCTTCAGAAAGAAATGCCACTACTCAAGGAACAATCTAAAAATCACACAATTATATTATTTTAAATTTTGTTTCATTTCCATGACAGAAATACTCCGACAAAGTTAATGTAAAAGCCTTATTGGCACTGACTTGCCACTTGCCAGTACTAAAACTGGAACAGAATTTCAGGTCATGCCACGTAAGGATGCAGAAACTTTTTACATATTGCAATACACATCAATGCTTTCTGATTAATGTTGCAGTTCTGAGGCACAGTAGCAAATTCACAAATTAATAAAATTGCACAAAGAGTTATTTCAGATAATCGAGGTATTTATTGTTGAAATGTACATGTCTAAAAATAAATATTACCTAAAACCATGAATCTTGTCTTAATCTGATGGATGCTCAGGGCAAGATCTATTTACTTCAAACCATTCATCTATGCAGCTGTTGGATGCAAAACAAAAGTGAAGACAATTGACATGAATATCTCAGTAACATTTAGCAGTAAGATATGAATATAAATTGGTTTCTCAACATTTCAGTGACTAGTAGGATTCTATATTATACAAAGAAGTATATATATATACACACATCACTGGAAAATTCCAGATCCTCAAAGCACAGTAAACTTTGCATATTAAATATCGCTGAAAAAACTTGTCTCCTAAGTGTTAAAATTTTCTAAGGAAGTATTTTACAAATTACTATCCAGCTTTTGTACACAAGTTACTTCATTGTTAACACTATCATCTAGCTTGTATCATTCACTGACATTTTCATTCCTGTAGTTACTTGTGAAAGCAAATATGAAACAGGTTTAAAGTGTTTCCCCTCTCCCCTCCCAAGCCCATAAAATCTGACAAAACTTAGGTACACACCCCTAAGCTCCCCAGCCATAAGGTGCACTCCTCCTCCACACAGGCTATAGTGCCTTATTGTTCCAGTGGGCTTTTCACACAAGCATGAGAAAACCACAGTAGGGAAAACTGACTTCAAATACACTGGTGGAGATGCAGAAAAATGCCATTTTAGAAACATCTTTAAGGTTGCTCCTGTTGTTTCTTTGTTGTTTGCTTTCTTAATGTAAAAAGCAACTAAGTTTTAATGCTTCTTTAAATGCAACCTTCTGGAATTGTATTTGCATCCTGAGGAATACTTGCCCTTTATGATATATGCAGAGGCAGGGCAGCCGTGCTATAGTATCTCCTTGCTGCAGCTCTTCCAGGCATATTGCACACTCCCCAGCATCTTTACTCAGCACATCCTCTGAAGGAAGAACACAAAGTTAAATGGTTAAAAGGCAGACTACGACCAGCAAAATGTTCTTTATTCAGAACACCAAGGACAGCTACAGAGGATACTAACTGTCCAGGCAGAAAGCCCAGTCAAGGTGAGGATCAGTCAAACACCAGCTGACTGAAGATCCCTGATGGGAAACCTCTTAGCAACCCAAATTAAAATATGGTTATGATTCAGGTTTCTTGTCTGAAGAACACAGCCGTTGCTCAAAATCAAGTCCTGTAGGAAGACAGCCATATGGAGAAGAGGGCAGTCACACTAATCAACATCCAGTATTCCTTTGGAGTTGATGCTCTCCCAGCAGACCTGCACCCCACCACACAGGCTGCTCTGATCTGACCTTGGACACCTGCTCTCTGAAGCATGCAGCTGCAGCAGACATGCTGTGCGGCAGACCCCAAGAGCTAAGCTTTAGAGAGGTAGGGTTCTCCATATGGATGGTATGCAATGCCTCTGGGGCCTGGATGATTTATGCTGGGTGGGTTTTTCCCAGCTGCATCTTCTTCCCCATGCTCAGCTTTCACTGTGCAGGTTGAGTCCAAGCCTGAACATAACATTTCTCCAGACAGGACACTGTAGGTAATTAACTAGCTAAAGATCTTCTTAACTTCTAAACACTTATCCTATAATTTGCTTTTTCTACTCTTTCTTCTGCCAGCCTTGCTGGTACTTGTATTTTATATCTTCAACAACCTCCTCTTCTCACCATATCAACATGTTCTACCACATCCCACTCACCTTTTCCTGAATGTAAAGTATGAAACTATTAGCAACAAGAGTTTTCTACCAGGGAAAGATCAGTGTCGTATAGCTCCGGTGACCTTAAATTCCTGGAAATATTCATGTTTTTGCAGCACTATCAAGTCCCATAACAAGGAGAAGAGAGTAAGCCGCTAGGAATGCACAAGAGTTGGATTTCACACAGAAGTTTCTTGGAAAACTACTTTTTAATAAAAATTTTCTCTGCTGGAGACTCCTCATAGCTGGAATGTAGTATGTGGAATTCAGTCTTAGCACAAAGCACAACAGGAGCTCATGTAAGGCTTCAGTTGCCAGCGGCAGGTTAAGAGTCCCAGTTAGACACAATCTCACGCAGCAGCCAAGCTGGTAATCTCTGGCGGATCAGAAAGGTACACATCTGGCAAATTAAAGCCCCTGCATTCAAGTTTCCATGTTTTCATGGAAAAGCTTCCCTTTCTTAACCAAAAGGAGACTAAAGGGACTGTTTATGGAGAGTGTGGTTCCATATGACTGAGAAGCCACCAGGCTCTATACTATTCTCTCCAGTGGCTCAAATACTCATCACTATGGCATTCCACACACAGGAAATGACAAGCACACAACTGGAAAGCTAGCATGGCTGCAAAACGTGAAACGAAATTAGGTCTACCTTGTTTCCCTTAGAATGACAGCAAGTTGTCTTGCAGGTGCTTGGGTTTCTAAAACAGTGCTTATTTCAGTCTCTGCTATATTGATTGTTATTCTAAAAACACTGCACAATATCACGTGGCAAATTCATGAGGATATGTGAAGAATATCTAACACAAGGTGAGCTGTTAAAAATATTTGGAACAAAATAATAGACAATATATATCCACGACAACGAAGAAAAGTAAAACTCATTTTGCGCGTGGTAACATTATTGGTAGACACTGCATGCATTATGAAATCGCTTCTGTTGCTCTCTCAGGAGCTGTAAGCTTCCAAGAACATTAGAGGTGCCTAAAAGACAAAGAATTTTAAAACAGTACCAAAGGTCTTAACTCTTATCTGTCCTTACAAAATCCTGACACTAAGAACTTGCCCAAAATAGGGTGCAAAGGATAAATACTTCCTTGAGGTGTTTTGGTTTGGTGGGGTTTTGTTTGTTTGGTTTTTAATAGATATATATCAAAAAAGGTACTTCTACATCTGTCACCAGGAGGTAGAGACTCTCCAGACAGTACTGTCCTGCTACACAGATATGAATCTCTGCTTGAGGCTGTCAGACACTACCCTCCTAGACCACTCTGTTGCAGAAGTACTGTGCCAAAAGTCCTATGAGCAGACCTACTCTCTTCCCACAGTTAGGCTGAAGGAAGAAGTGCCATTAATAATACAAGCATGTCTGATATACCCAGAGTATACTTAATGTAATTAATTTTTTCCATAGAGTCACTTTATCAGATCAGCAGCTGGTACCCAAAGCAAAATGGCACTAAGATACCTCCAGTAAATTAAACCTCAGCATCTCTCCCTCAGCACTCTCAAGAAGTAAGCATTTAGTCCACCTTTGATGACAAAAATTTAAAAGCTGTCCAATAAAAATACAATTTACAGAGGAAAACATTCCTGTGAAGTGCTTTCCCATCATTCTCTACTGTACATGCCTGGCTTATCATGCACTCCCCAGACCAAACAACACCTGGGTCTGAACTCCTGCTGAGCAATTTCACAAGGTTCTGCACCTCCTGGCTACCCTCAGGGAGAGACGCCCATTAAACACGTGTATCTCCCACCAGCCCTGGCGTGTGTGTCTGGGACTCCTTTTCTTTCCCCCAGCACTGCCGTACCCTCCCCAGATACCTTCAGCCTCCCCCTTGCCAATGCCAGCCGCGCTGCAGAGTCCCAGGCGAGCAGCTCGCCGCCCTCCCGGGCTCACCCCAGGCCCTCCCGCCAGCATGGGGCACCTGGCGCCCCCTGAGCTCTGCCTGGGCAGCCCAGAGGGAGCCGCTGTGAGCACTGAGGAGGGACAGGGCCCTAGAGATGTGGTGGAGTTCTGCAACCCCCGCAGAAGAGATTTTGTTAACAGGTTTCAGTGCTCTTCTTCCTCTGAAATAATGAGGAGTCAGCATTCCCTACTTCTTGTATTAAACTTGCGAATCCTTCTAGGGTCTCGTGCAAGAGAAAAGCATAAATACTGAAGGAATTGTTACAAAATACCTAACTGCTATCAGTGCTTGTGTGCAACTTGGCACTGCACCTTAACAGACTCCAAGGTCATGCAATTATGCTCATAAGTGGTTACACATGTAGAGCAATGACAGCAAACTCAAATCCTTCACAGACCTTTGACACTTTGGGTCTGACTCCCCTTTGACCACCTAAAGTCGATTCAGATCATCAGACCCAGATAAAGAAAAAAGAGTGAAAAAAGCCTATTAGCCCTCAATCTGGTCAGAATTTGTTGAGCACTTGTTTCAATACAGCACTTTCCTGTATGAACACTGGCTTATAACAGATGTAAGACAGTTTAAGGGCCATTTAGCACTGACTTTTAAACACAACTGTTAGGAAAAATGTGTAAATCATTTAAGTAATTTTGCACAGAACCACTGCAATCTGAACAATTTTTTTGTTTTCATATTTTCCTGTAGCAGCGTGATTCAGCAGACACATACTATTAATTTTCTTTTTCTCCTAAAAAAAAAAAAGGGAACATTTTGAGATTTCATCAATGTTATGATTAAAGCATTTATATGAGTAAGTGTATTACCTAAATGGAAGTGGGAAGAGGAAATACGCAGAGGCCACATTGTTCCCTCTCGCCCACACGTGGATACACACACACAAACACTCACCGCCGCCCCCATCCATCTGCCTTGCGCCGAAACGAGTTAAACACTCCTCCACCTTCCCAGCTGTTTGAACAAGTACTCACCAGCCAAAGGCTGCTGTCAGAGACAAAATCGGGTGAAAGAGCATAGTATTTCCCTCCTGTGTCTGCTCAAGTACTCCTCCTCCTCTCCTCTGTCCCTGTTTAAAACTACTACTGTTTTAACTTCTGGTTGTCAGTCAGTTTCCTCCCCAAATCCTGCTTTTATATTTACTGAAAAATAAATTCTACTCCACTCTTGCGTTATAGCAAAATAGGTGGTACTGATTAAATTGCAATCATCCTAGCAATTCTGCACATACTTTACCGATTAAAAAGGTATTCAAGATTTTGAAAAATATATCCAACAATTATCAAAGCCACCAACTTAGCCACGGTTAAAAGTATAGGCAACAATGAAATCCTCTGTCTTTAAACTGTGGACCGCAGAAGCACATGCAATACATAGCTTATGGATGAAGTCACTAAAACCTGTGCTACTGCTTTTTGATTTTCTTTTTAAAATACAGACAGATATAGCCCCTAGGCTCAGGAAACACCACGACACAAATCATGGAGATGGCAATAGTATTTGGGAAGGGACATCTTACAGCTGCAGTATTTTATTTCTCTCTAGGCATTCACTGAAAACAGAACATCAAGTTAGAAAACCTTTGATCTCATTCAGGATGACAACTTTTTAAAATATCAGTATTTAAAGTTATGTATTTAAATTTAAAAGCTCTCATGTCTGTGGAGGCTGCCATTGCACCCAGCTTAACAGAGAAAGACAATACAGAAGTGCATCGTTTAGGAATACAACCCAGTCTTAATCAGAACATAACTTCTGAACAATATAAATTTCAGCACTAAAGCAGGTAAAACAAGAGCTATAGGAAGTTAAAAAAAATATTGATGAAACTTCATTAAATAGTACATATTACCACTGGGTGATCCTTGTGGCCTCTTCCAACCCTGACAGATTCTGATCTGTTTTAGCAGAGGACTTAGTAGTGTTGGCTTGATGGTTGGACTTGATGATCTTAAAGGTCTCTTCCAACCTAAAGGATTCTATGATTCTATATCCATTGTACATTCATTATTTTTAGTAGTTGGTAACAAAAATCCCTCTCAGTGAAACACTAGAGGCTTTGCTTGTTTTTAAATGGAGTAAGTCAAGCTCTAGACACCTAGAAGCCAACATATTTCTTCACACGTATAGCATGAATTCATCCACATTGCAGAATTTATTCTCCACTTCTACTGACATCACCTTCTGGGTCAATCCGAAGTTTTTCCTTACACCATTACAAAAAAACAAGTAGACAAGAAGAACCTGCACATTCCACAGGTAAACTATTCAGTAGCCAGAAAGATGTGTGTATGTGATTAA